TAATTTACAAGCCAGGAAATTGGAACTCAGCTTCATTGTCCTGGCAGAATTACATGACTTGCAAGTGGCAGCATCAGAGAAGAACCCAGGCCTTCTGACTCCCGTGTTCTGTGTTCTTTCCAGAGCACCACTGCTGTGCTCTGTCCACGCCGCGTGCACCCTGTGACAAGCCAGGGCAGGGGCAGAGGTTACACTTCCCACTGGAGAAGGAGCTTCCCAAGGGCACAGACCCTGTCCTCTCCCCTCTGCTTCCCCTCAATCTCAGCAGTTTCGATTCTCAGGCCATGCTCTTCACTGACCAATGAGTCACTGTTAGAGGCCCCCTCCTGGGATGCCCTGGAGTGACCTCTCCATCTTCCTTGCTTTGGGACCCACAAAGTGGCCAAAGCCAGGAGCTCTGGGCCAACTGCAGAAGGAGCAGCCTAGGGCTCTGTGAATACAAGTCCTTATTTGACTCCAGCTCAAAGGCTTAGCTGTCCCAGGATGCTCATAAGGGGCCAGCTCTGGCCTCCAGGCTATCAGATGTCTCTGGACAGGCAGCAAAAGACCATTCACTGTGACTGAAGAAAGGCAAGCAAGCCAGGCAGCGGACTTAACCATGGAGCTCTGCCAGGGTGCCCCAAAGGGCTGCAGACAGAATTGTTCTTGCCTATATATCAGTGGAAGAAGCACAGGCAGATGCCTGAAAGCCTGGACTTAAAAGCAGGCAAGAAGGAAAGAGTCAGGTGCAAAGAGGCCCCAAGCACATAACTACATAAAAAATGAATCAACATTCACTGATCGTGCTGGCCAGGGTCACCCAGAGAGAAGGTAGGAGAGGCTGACACAAGGCCCTGTGCCATAGATAAACAGCCAGCGTGTTTGTGTTTGTGATGTGCACACCAAGGATTGGGAATGAGAGACGCCCTGCACAGGTGCTGCGTGAGAGCCATCCAAACACGGGTGTGAGAGGTGGCTGGATGCAAAGGGGCTGTGTGTGGACAAGATCGGGTGAGGACACAGGGCCGCCCACTGCGGGGAGCAGCAGCCTCTCAGGCCCAGAGTGTGAGAGGTGGAGGGACTTCCAGAGGGGTGCGTGACCCTGCTCAGCCTGGAGGCCTAAGCCAGAACAGGCAGAGATGCTCACTGGCTCACACTCAAGGGGGGCCTGTCTTGTGCTGTCTTCTCTCTGGTGGCGCATCTCCAGCCTCGAGGATGGGGAGAGATCTCTGACCTGGTCCCTACCCTCTTTTCCTGACTGCTCCCCCTCTTCCAGCCCCTCCCCCAGCCCCCTTCTCACTGGTCACCGTTCTCAGTCTCAGGCTTGCTTTGCTTCCATGTCTGGCTTCTGTCCTGGCCCACGTGGGTCTGATGACAGGAATGACACTATCTACACATGCACGGCCATGTGGCCAGACTGGGTGGTGGGACTTCTAGCAACAGGGGTTCCCAGGACTGGTGACATTCTCCTGAATGTGATTAGAAGATGAGGATAGTGCTTATCTGGCTGTCACTGCCCCTTCCCACACCTTCTGAAGGAGGCCCAGGGGGACAGCCAGCTGCTCTGGGCCCATGCTGGAGTGAACTTTCCTCAGCTGTTTCCTGTTCCCTGGACATCGCCAGGGCAGGCAGCACCCAATGTGAGGGTCCCACCGAGGATCCCAGTGAAGCCAGGGAGGCAGGAGCTACACAATCCCTACCCCTGCCCCAGTTCCTGTGTTTAGTCTCTGGTTCCTGAGGATATGGAACATTCTGGAGCCTATTTGACCTGGGTTTAATGATCAGTTTGCCACTCACTACCTACATGACCTCAGTGTTATTCAGTGTTTTGTGCTTTGGCCTCACTGCTTGAAAGGAAAGATGATGCTGATGGCCACCTTGTGCTGTTTGTTCATACAGTCAATAAGTACTTACAGAGCACTGTACGCCAGGCACTGCAGATGCAGCAGGAGAAAAAACAGGCATTATTCTTAAACCCTGTAGGATGAAAGGAATGGCAGATGATCAGATATATCTATATCTATATGATAGTTTAGTGAGCTGGACATGGGGGCACACACCTGTAATCCCAACACTCAAGAAGCTGAGGCAGGAGGACTGTGAGTTTGAGGGCAGCCTAGGCTACATAGAGAGTTCAAGGCTAGCCTGGATTACATAAGGAGACCCTGCCTCAAAAAGGAAAGAAAAAACAAGTTTAGGCTGTGCTGTGTGTAACAAGGAAAAATCAAGCCAGGTAAGGAGCAGAGAGCAATGAGGTGAGGCTCCTTCAGAGAGGTGCTGGGTGGGGGAGGGCTTCTTTGGTAAGCAGTGCAGGTAAGTGGAGGTGGAGCTGTCCAGCATGTGCAAAGGCCCCTAGACAAGAACAGGCACACGTTCAAGGACCCCAAGGAAGTCAGCCTGGCTGCAGCACAGTAAAAAGGGGACAGCGCTCAGAAATGAGGTCAGGAGGTAGCCAGGGGCCGGTATGCATGGTGAGGGTTGTGGCTTTTCCTCTAAGTGAGAGGAGAAGCACTGGAGGGCTCTGGGGAGAGGGGTGGTGTGATCTGTGATCATGTTGGCTACTATGAGGAGACACGATGACAGGGGCAGCAAGAGAACCAGGAGGCATGGGAAGGAGGTGGCAGCAGAGAGAAGGGGGCTCGCACCAGGTGCAGACAGGTAGTGGGCAGGGTTGTGAGGATTAAAGGAGACCATGTGCGTGCAGTGCTTTTTCTCCATGGATTTTGTTTTCAGTACCGGGAATCGAACTCAGGACCTTGTACTTGCCAGGCATGGTGCTGCTGAGCTACATCCCAGCCCATGCAGTGCTTTCTCAATACATTCTACTGTATTCTTTTTTTTGTTTTGGTACCGGGGCTCGAACTCGGGTCCTTGAGCTTGCAAGGCAGGCAGCGAAACCACTGAGCTAAATCCCTAGCCCTTCTCAATACATTCTGTCAGGATTCATTTCTTTCTCCCAGAGGTTTGGGACCCAACTCAGCAATGGGACACCCCAATAGTGGATGCTTAGGTTGTTCTGAAATAACTGCTCCTGGGTTTCCAGATCTTCTGAGTGAGACGATTGTACACTCATGTGTGGAAGTGCACACACATATACATGAACACACACATGCACACACAGAGATGTCTGCTCATTGACCCCCTCCCAAGGGTCCAGCAGGCCCTTCACATAGACCTGGCCTTTGCTCTCAGCACACAGAGACCCTGATGCATTGGGGTGGTAGATGCAGGACATAAGGCCAGCCCACCAAGACAGTAGCTCACCATAGCTGCTAGGGGCACCCCTCTGCTGCTGCTCCAGCTGCAGGGCTGGTGGGAAAGGCAGTCTCCTCAGAGGTTACATAAATATTTGCTGAGCAGTAACACAGCTGGGAGCAGGGCCCCTTCCTCCAGCTGGTTCATTTGCCACCCGAGAGAAATCTCAGCTGGGATTAGGACCAGGATTTGGAACCCTCCAGTGTACATCCGCTGACTCCCAATGCCCACAGTTCAGACTGTGCCACCAACCCACCTTCTAAGCCTTTCAGTCTAGGCTGGTACCAGGGAGGGGGGTGACATGACATGGGACCCCTGTGGTAGAAAGAACCCTGGCCCAGGAATCTGGAAACCCGGCTTGTATGGAAGGATCTTGAGCAGCTCACTCTTTCTGGGCTGCAGCTTCTCCTTATGAAAAGCAGGAAGTTGAACCAGGTGACCAATAAAGCCCTTTTCGGCTCTGATGTTCTGGATCTCTGACCACATGAACTGGGTCTGTCCCAGGAAGGGTGAGAGGTTGGTGAGCAGAGGTGGCAGCCTCACTGGGTCAGGAAAGGAGAGGAAGGAAGCTCACTAGGCCCGTGGCCAAGGAGCTCTGTCAGTCATTACTAACAGGCAAGAACTATAATGCGAAGTGAGAAAGGTAGACACAGAAGGTTAAAAGTCACGTGGTTTCTCTTATATGAGAAACGCAAATATAAATAATTTAAAGAGCAAAATAAAGGGCAGATGATAGGAAACAGGGAGGTAGACTTTTTGGAGATGGAGAGGAGCTGTGGGAAAGGAGGAGAAGGTAGGTGGGGAGGGAAAGGCGATCAAGAATGATCAAGATAGGGCCAGGGATTTAGCTCAGTGGTTCCACCGCCTGCCTCACAAGCGCAAGGTCTCGAGTTCGATCCCTGGTACCAAAAAAATAATTTAAAAAAAAGAATGATCAAGATAATACTTTACATGTACTAATTCCCCCAGATGAATGTAATTATTATCTATCGTAAACACATGCCCTTAAAATAAAATTTTTCGAAAAATCCACTGTGAGCTGGGTGCAGTGGTACACCCCTGTAATTCCAACTGCTTGGGAGGCTGAGACAAGAGTACTGCTTGAGCCCAGGAGTTCAAGGACAGCCTGGGCAATATAGTGAGACTTCACTCTCTCCCCAACCCTCTGAAACCCACTGTGACCCCCGACTTGGGTCTGGGGTCAGCATGGCTTCCACACTGGTGGCCAGACTACCTGAGGTCACTCTTGGAACTTTTCTGGCCTGAGTGGTCTAAAGTGAGGATAACAATAGCTGCTTTACCTTAGATCGCTTGGTTATTTAAAAAATCATAGAAGTGCATGTGTTTTGAAAATTTCTGCCACACAGAGGGTAAGAATGATTTTTTTTCTAGACATTTCTATCGAGAATATAATGGAGGATTCCCTCAGGATCATTGGGAGATCTGGGATAATTTTTTGAAAGCTGCGATTTAGGGATATGACCAGGCCAGTCCCCAGCTGTCTCGGGACACTGCGGGAACACTTGTTCATTGTCCCTCCCTCCAAATCCTTTCTGTCCTTTCCCCGTCCATTCATCCTGGGTTAATTCTCTTTCTTATCACTCAACTCTCTGCCGAGATACCACCAGCCCACCCTGGCCAGGGTGTAAAGGGCTCTCTGGGCCTAGCCCTTACCCACAGTCCAGGGGAAGATTCTCCAGGTGACCAGCAGTTGTGGAGACAGAGACTTCTGCATCTCAGAAGTTACCTAGGACCATACTTGATGCGAAAGAGAAGGGATGAGGGCAGGTCAGGGGACAGAGTGGTGGATGCCTAGCCTAACAGCCTGGCATCCTCCTCTTCTCAAGGGTCTCATTTCTGGGGTTCAACAGGAAACCAAGTGTGTGGTCAAGGGCCCAGACAGGTGACACTGCAACCCAGAAATTGCCAGGTAAATAGCACTGGAGTTCATAGCAATCAAACTGCTCAACAAGTCTCTCTTTTTCTTTTTTACCTTTTTTGTTTTTCTGGTACCAGAGATGGAACTCGGGACCTTGTCCTTGCAAGGCAGGCAGCAGAACCACCGAGCTAAATCCCCGGCCTCTAGTCTCTCTTTTTCTTGTCCCACTCTAACCAACATCAACCTTTGAGTTATTGTCCGGGAGACAACCACAGCCTCCCACAAATATCTTGGGATGTCTCCACTGAAAATGGAATCTTGGTGGAGAAGACCTTGGGCCTGGGCCCATATGACTCCAGAGATCCTTTGGGATGGGTTGGTGAGAGCCAGGAAGAGGAATCACCCCTCTACCAGAGGAATCTGCCAAGGGACCTCATTAGTCTGGGCTCTGCCCTCTGCTTTGGACATTGCTTGCCCTTTCTGTGTCTCAGTCTCACTTATGTAAAGAGCTCCTCTGATGGTGCTGACACAGATGGAAAATGGTATCCTGGTTCCCAAGGTCTCTTAGAAGAGAAGCACTAGAGGAGGCCTGTCTAAGATAGATGGGCCTGGGCTGGGCATTTAGCTCAGTGGTGCCACTGTCTGCCTTGCAAGTGCAAGGTCCCGAGTTCGATCCCTGGTACCGAAATCAAACAAACAAACAAAACAAAACGTAAGCTAGATGAGCCCTTTTCCTCTTGCCCTCTTTGGCTGGGCTTTCTCTCTGGAAGAGTCCTGGGTCCCCACTCCCTTTCGGCAGGCACCTTCTTCCTCCACCATGTGTGCCTCAGCTGTCCCCCACTCCCTCTGCTCCAGGTTTTGGTCATGTTGCCTGGGACCCAGGAAGAAGAGCTCAGAATCCTTTCTGCATGCCACCTCATTGTAGACAAGGCCACCGTATCAACCCTACTCTGTCACACCTCGTGATAGGCAGTCAGGGCCTCTTCTAGTGCGGCAGTGGGCCATTGATGGGGAGGCTATGTTTTTCTGACTTCACAAAAGCCCCCCAGACAGCATTCTTCTTCAGTGCTGCTGTCCAGTTACCCAAAGTGCCTGACCTATGGGCTGAAAATAGCAGGTGCTAATTTGCATGCTATTTATTTAAGTAGCAAAGCCTCTGTCCCTCCCCCTATAAAAGCCCACACTAGCCTCCACCGAGCAGGAAGGTAACCACTAACACAAGACCAATCTTTCCATTAGCAAGGAGAGAGGGATATATGGAGGACGAGCCTCAGATTCTTTTGAGTGTTGCAGCTCAGAAATCCATCCTGAGGAGGAGGAGGTTTAGAGTCTTCCCCGCCCCCAGCCCAGAATATCCTGTTAATGGGGACTCAGAAAGCAGAGAGCCCTTCCCCTGTGCTGAGCTGCTGGGTGTGACCTGTCCACTTTATGGCCTGGGTCCCTCAGTCCGTGTGTGTGTGTGTGTGTGTGTGTGTGTGTGTGTGTGTGTGCGTGCATGTGTGTGTAGGGGTGAAATAAAAGGGGGTAAGGAGAGTAGATGGGAGGACAGACAGGCCACCGGGTATTAGGAAGAGGAATAGGGCGGGCTCTGGGGACCGTGAGGCAGTGTTCAGGACCAGCTCAGTCTCCTGCACTAGACCCTCATCCCTCCAAGCAAATCCCACACCTTACCCTTTCCTGGCCTCAGATCTCCCTCCCTCCAGCTCTTCCCACAAAGCCACAAAGGAGGAAACCTTATGGAAAACCTATAGCTGGATGCAAAGAACAACATCCCCCGCTGTTGACATTCCTCTGGCTGAGAGGGTCATTGTACTCAGGCAGAGGCTGAAGTGAATCCCTTGTGGCATATTACTATAAGCTGTTCCCCAGATGACCACAGCACAGCTGCTGGGACAGAACCTCCCCGGGGGAAGGGACCGCACTCTCCCTGTCTAGAATGGGAGGCCAGGAACGTTAGCAGCACAGGAGAGCCAGAATGGGGCATGGTACAGGGACACCGCCCTGGACTGAGATGGAAGGATGTGCTGCCGAGGACCACTGCCTTGCTTTGTCCCCTCAAGGCTGGCCTGCTTGGAGCTGGTGCATCTTCCCAAAATCTTGGCACTCTGAACAGAGGAAAAGGAATGTGTCTATTTACCCCACGTGCTAAGGGGTAGTCTTGGGGATCTGTGCTAGCATCACTGCAGCTTTTTACTCTCTTTTGATCTCAAAGTGTATTTGGAAAACTTGCCCACAATATGCACCCTTGGATATAACACACACACACACACACACACACACAAATATGCATCACACACACACACAAATATGCATCCAGACTGTTCGGGGACCCAGATGAGGTCCCTCTGCTGAGGTTCCAACCCTTCAAGAGTGTGGTTTGTCCCTCTAGAACTGCATCTCCAGGTCAGTGCTCCTGTGCAGTCTCAGGACAGGGAAAGGGCTGTCCTAAACGCAAAGCTTTAAAGGCTGGGGAAGCCATTCGGGAATGCAGATCTCCTCTCCTTCACACCTGTGTGATAGGCCTAGGAGAACAAGCATGAGGCTCAGTCACACCAAGCTGCCCAAACCCCAGAGACAGCTGCTTGTGGATCACACTCATCTTCAGTACTTGCCCCTACCCCCGGGGGTTGTAAAAAATTACCAAGTTGCTTTTATTGCTTAAAGAAATTCCAGATAGAATCTATCCCTTTCTAAAACAGTCTTCTCAGCTTGCCCAGTTCACACTGGGATGGAGACCCAGCCACAGACTTGTAGCCCCTGCTGGGCGCAGAGAGATGCCTGGAGGAAGGGGGTGGGTAACAGCCCCCCTGGGGAGCTCGCCTTTATTCTTGGACCGGGAGAGTAAGGTGTCAAGAAGGCCCTGCTACTGGATCCTACTGTTTTTCTTCCGTACCCTACATGAAAACCTTCATGCTTTGAGATCTGATTTTTCAGCTAAAAAAATGCCTCCTAGATGAAGCCACTGACCCTTGGGTGATGTGAACCTCCCTTTCTCCCCCAAGATCGCTCCCCCACGCACACCACCCACTTCGTCTGCTCTCCTAAACGCTGGAGAGACGTAGGCCCCACCCCGGAGGGTTTCAGGACTTCGAGGTCAAACGGCCTCCCCCTCCCCCACAGTAGAAGGTTCCGGAACCAACCTCTGGCAATATGCACGCTCCCTCTGACCTTCACACCCCTCCGAACACCTGGTTTTAGGGATGCACAGATTCCATGCGCCAATTGTTGCTGATTTCCAAAAGCCTAGAAAGGGGCCGGGAGGAGGCTGTGCGGAAGCCCTCTGCAGAGCAGGTCTCCCCAGGCCCCCCAGCTCGGGTCCCACCGGGCACCTGGGCTGCCTGCCTGAGAGACCTGCGACTGCCCCGCGGCCCACGCCCCCTTCTGCCTGTGGAGCGCGGGTCGGAGCACCCCAAGGGAGCGCAGCTGGCATCCCAGGGGTTAACTCCGGAGCAGCCCAGGTGGAGGTCGAGGTCCCCAGCCCTTCTCTGCACCTCCGGGCTTCTGAGGCCGCCGGAACGGTGGAGGCTGCAGCGGCTCTTTGTCTACCTGCTCTGGGCGTTAAAGAGCCCGCTTGCAGCCTGCATCGCCGGGCCTCGGGACAGAAGTCAGCGACGGGGAAATGAGGCTCTGTCGCTTTAAGTACAGCTGGAGCCGTAAGTACGCGCCTGGCTGTACAGAGCAAAGCGAGCGGAGGGCCGGCGAGTGCTCGGTTTCTGGTCCTCCGCGTGGTCGGAGGCGCCGACCTCTGGGTGTCGGCCTCGTGCCTGGCGAGCGCAGTCCCCGAGGGCGCGGGGTGCCCACCGGTGCATGGCCACCGAGCCGGGGAAGATGCTGCAGCTGCCTCTGCCCAGGTCGGGAAGGACCGTGAATTTCCCCCGCAGGTAAGCGGCCCAGCCCCCGAGCCGGGTCGGCCGGGCACCCAGCCCCAGCCCACCGCCCTGCGCAGCGCAGCCCCGGGCCTGGGTTCGGGCCCACAGGAAGGAAGGTCTTGGCGGCCTTTCCCGCCGGAGGGAGGCGAGCCGCCCCGGAGCCCGGGACTCCCCACGCTGAGCCTTCGGGGCATTTGGGGCTGGGGCCGTGCGTGGCGGGGCGCGGAGGGCAGAGGGACGGACACGCCGAGACAATGGCTCAACTTAACTGAACTTCGCGCCTGCCGCCGCAGCGCTGGGGGCTAGTGCGGGTCGAGGGTCCTCAGGACCAGGCTGGGCGTGCGGAGAGGCCCTGGGGTGTCTTGGGGAGGGGGTGAGACCTGGGGAAGGGGAGGTTGGGTCCTCTGAGAGGGTGGAAATCTGAGAGTCCTGATGATGTGGGGAGCTGCACTGTGAGGTGCCGGAAGACGAGGGGTGCACCAAGCCCCCTTCATAAAAACGAACATGGACACAGGACCCCCGCTCCTCCTTCAGAGCTGACTTGGAAAAGGCTCTTCCCAGGGAGGATTAGGAAAGTCCCTGGGCCTGAGGAGAGCTGGGGCTCTGGTTTGCTCTCGCCCCAGCGTGACCCTTCATCCCCTCAGCCTCTCTGGACCTGGCTCTCTGGGAAGTTGGGGAGGCTCTGTGGCCACGCCCGTCCCAAACCCCTCCCAGGCCTCCCAGCCCCAACGGGCAGGACCTGCACCCTGAGACACCTCCTAATTCTTTGGTGTGTGTGGTGGGGAGCCCAAGTACTCTCTAGGAACTCAGTTGTAACTTTGCACACAAAAGCCTACGGTGAGAGTGAAGAACTGGGCTAGGGCTGGGAAGAGAGTGGCATCGCATCTTTTCCTTCCTCTGCAGGGCGGTGGGCCCTGAGGGGGAAGAGGGGGTTGTTGTTTAGAAGCCAGAGTTCTGCTGGTCCCAAACTTCGGGTCCCCTACCACAGTCCAGAGACTGCAGCCTTGCAGACCCCTGGAATGTGATGGCTGCTGGGATTGCTACTATGACTGGTGAGGGTTGTCATAAAAGGAAGCAGTTCGTGAAGTGAGAATAGATCCATTTAGGGACTGCTGGGGATTCTTCAGGTGAGGTCTTGGGCTGGGTTGCTCTGTAGGCCCTGGAGAAGGAAAAAGGGGCGGATCACGACCTGCAAACCCCCCTCTGCCACTCCCACCTCTACTAGAAGCCAGGTGCTATCACAGTGTGCCCAAGGACAGCTGTAGCATTGCTGCCCAACCGAGATTCATACTGGTTCTACTCTGCACTGCCTCCCACCCCAGAAGCCATGAAAATCCTCTAAGAGACCCCAGCCTCCTTTCCAGGAGCCCCTCTCTCCCTCTTTCCAGCCACAGCCTTTCCTAGGATCATTCAGGGTTGCTTTTGAATTCCTATTCTCCCTGTCCCCTTTCTCAACCCCACCCCACTCCAGAGGGACCACCCTAGCCCAGGGGAGCCCAGCCTCTGTAGAGAGAGCTTAGTGCTCGTCCCGAGGCCACAGCTGTTGAGCAGTCTTCTAGCTCCTTACCTGAAATGGTTTCTGGGCAGGTGTGCTGGGGCGGGGATGCAGACGGAAGCAGGTCACGTTACACCTACCCAGCCTGCTGCCTGCTGGGGTGGGGCTATGGTTTCCTTTCACCCGGCAGCCGGGGGCCATTGTGAGTTGCAGGCTGAATGTCACTGGTAGGCAAGGAGAGAGGGAAGGTTGTAAAGTGCACATACTTAAGTTATAAAATTTAACTAGCCTGGCTCTGGTCCACGCAAGGGGAGCTCAGCCCTAGCCTGTGCTCTGGGGATAGCTTGCAGCCTTCCCTGTAAACGAGGTTTGGCTGAGCCCATCAGGAGATCAAAGAGATGCTTTCCCTGAAGAATCAGACTCCCCTTAAGCTCTCAAGGGGCATGGAGGGGAGGATGTAAGGATGTGGGGTGAATGACTTAATTAGCCCTCAGATGTCTCCCTGACCAACTGTTGATGAGCAAGGAGCTGCAATCAATCCCTGGTACGGCCACATGGGGTGATCACTTCCCTCATGGAAGGCTCTACCCATAAGCACTATTCTTTCATACTTCAAACACTATGGTCTCTCCTGAAGACACCTCTTTCCTCCTGCCCCAGCACATGTGGTCCTCTTCCATCTTCCAAGCAGGAAGCCTGAAGTCCACCCCATTCAGCCCTCCCAAGTCCCTTCCCAAAAGGACCCTTAGGCAGAGCCTGCAGATCCCTAGGAACAAGACCTGCTCCCCAGATTTACCTCACTCAACCCAAGAGACTCCCTGAGGCAGAAGGCTTCACCTTGGCACAGACTCAGCCTCTGGGAGAGGACAAATTCCTAGGCATAGCAAAGCCGAGGAGCTGCTTCTCGTTAAGAGTTTTATGGGGCTAGGCATGCACACCACAGGCCAGCGATGCTTGCTTAACCTCTCCCTGCAAAGCCCCTGCCCAGGGCTTGGGAAACATGGAGAGGAAAGAGGGGCCATGCAGGAAGCATCTTAATGAGGGGTTAGTGCAGCAGCCACGTGTCCCCTGCCAGCAGGTCAGCTTTTCTCTTTATCCCATGACACTCACACCACACGTGCTAAAGGCATTGTAAACAACTTTTCACTGGGTCTTCACAACCACATGAGATGTAGGTTATTATTATCATCGTCCTCTTTCACAGATGAAGAAACTGAGGCACAGGGAGTTTAGGCAAACAGACCTGAGATCCCAGCGGTGGCATTGGCCTCACCCAGGTATGTCAGACTCTAGCACCAGCTCTAACTACTGTGTGATAAGGAGACACCAGTCTAGGCCCTGGGATTGCCAGATGCTGAAGATGCGGGAGTTGAGGGTAATTTGAAGCCTCAGCCAAGGCTTGGGGTTGCCTGGGACTCCAGTGGGAACGTAGTGGGGAGATTACTAAACTGACGCAGTACTGGTTCCAAACCCACTTCACCTCTATCTAGCTTTGTGCTCTTACAGAGGTGGCCTGTTCTTGAGCGTGTTTCCTTCTCTGTGAAATAGGAGGAAGTCCTTTCTACCTCATGTTTATGACAATGTGATAATGTAAAGGGAGTTCTGATCAGTATTCTAACCTTTTTTTTCAGTACAGGGGATTGAATCCAGTGCCTTCCCACTGAGCTACATCCCCAAGTCCTCCCACCCCTACCTCACACGTGCACATTTACTGAGACAGGTTCACTAAGTTGCCCAGGCTGGGCTCGAACTTGGCAGGGGGTTCTCCCGCCTCAGCCTCCGACAGTGTTGGCATTATGCATTTTGGACTCTTTAGATGTGTTGGGTCCTCCCCCCATCTTGCTAGAACTCTGATGAGCATGGCTTGATCAGTATAATAGTCTATAAACAGCTCCCCAGCTTGTAATCTATCTTTGATTTTTACTTAAGTACTCAGTTGTTCATCTTTAGATTTCTATTCAGTCTAAAGTCTATGCTAATTATGATAGTATATTTATATATGCTATTCTGGATGCCGATTTACATAAATATAGATCACTTTTTAAAACAATCATTTTTAAAAAACAACCATATTCCTTCAACATTTACTGTGTGCTAAGTTTGTGCCAACCATTCTGCTGGGTGCTGGAGAAACAGAACGGAAGCCTTAAGAGCTTATATTCACTCACTCATTCATTCAACAAACCCCAGTTAGAGCTTCAGATTCCAAATATGGGGCTGGGTATTAGGGATATAATACCAAGTGGCAAGACAAGCATAGATCCTGCATTCAGAACTTAATAAATGCATAAATACATTACTTCTAATAATGAGAAATATGAGAGCGAGGCAAATGGAGGGAACAGGTCTTGTTCCTGCTGATCCCCAGGCTGTACCTTAGGGTTCAGGCCAAGGAGTTTAGGAGGAGAGGAAATGTAGGTGAGGAGACAGGAAGCAATGTGCAGTCCATAGACGCAAGCAGGAAGGAGACGTACTTGGAGCGGTCATGGAAGGCTTCAGGGATTTTCACTGGGCCTGGTAGAGAAAATAAGAATTTTTCAAAGGAACAAGAATTCATCTTAGAATGGAGGGAATTTTCCCCAGTTGAAAGGTTCTGTGTCATCGTCCAAATTTGCTGCTCAGACCCAACATCACCTTGGCTTCTTCAGCCATGCAAATTGCATGTCTGAGACAGAATCCTCTGAGACAGACAGTTGGGTTTTCACTGCCCGGGGTCACCAGGAATCCTGTCTAGAAGGCTTGGTAGTGGTCCTGGCTTGTTTTCTCAGGACCTGGTATCAGTGTCTTCTCAAGTTAAGTTCATAGCATAAGAAACTGTCTTCAGACTATCTTTGCCCTTGCCATTAAAGCAGAGTCAAATAATTCTAGCCATGTGGAAAGTGTGCAGGTATGAGAATTCATCCTCAGCCTATCTTTCTTGGAATTTCCTAGAAATGCTAAATTCTTGGACATTTTAATTTTAAAAGGCACCTATCCCATGAAGACTCTGACTCATCACTGGGAAGACATGTCGAAGAGGAAAAAACACCAAAGCCCTTTTCTCTCCACATGCAGCCTGGTCACTGGTCCTAGGTGTTGAGCATAATCAAGAAATAAACTTGAGTTGGGGATGTAGAGAGCACTTGCCTAGCATGCATGAGGCCCTGGGTCTGATTCCTCAGCACTGCAGGAAAAAAAAACCCCCAAAACTTGATGTAAAACACAGACTCCCAGGGTATAGCAAGTGTGAAGTTCTTCATAAACTAGTTTTCCTATTTGGTGTATTGCTGCAGGTGCCATTTGAATAGTGGATGGGTTGATTCATCAAAAGTGGGGAGCAAAGGGCAGTTGTGTACCCTCCCACAGCTTGCCAGCCACTACCACTGGTGCCCTGTGGGTGCTTCACTATTTTGTTTATGTCTCCCTGCCACACGGAAGGGCTGGTGGTAAGAGGACCATTTTTGTGACCCAAGCTCATGTTTAGGGAGGTCATGTGCCTGGTTCCATGACTCTTCCTCTCTAGAACACGTAAGTCTGAGGAGCTTGGTACTTTCTGAAAGCTCAAGAATAACTAAGCTCCCTTCTGGGATGGTCATTTTTAATAAAGGAGGGCTGCTTATGCAGTTTCCCAGCCTCCTGGGAAATTGCTTTTCAACAAAACTATTAATTTTTTCCCCCATACTCATTATATGGTGGTAGTTTTATCCAGTCATAAGTTCCTAGGGAGCCAGGGACTTTTACTGTAGTGATATATAGATGCATATGTGGAATTTAATAATGCTTTGGTTTTTTTCCTGAGGGAGGGTCGAACTGTGTTGTAGCTCTGGCCTGCTTCGAACTCTCTATGTAGCCTAGGCTGGCCTAGCACTCACGATCCTCCTGCCTCAGAGTACTAGGATTACAAGCCTAAGCCATCATACTGGGCTTAGTAATGGTCTTTTGATGATGACCCCAAAAAGCTGATAGAATACCATTGTAAGTGTTCATAGAAGAGCTTTGGACATACCATATTTATCCCACATCCTATCACATTTTGAGTTCTTCATGTCCACCGCCAAGTATTTATGACTTGCCTAGTATGTGTCAATAACTACATTCATCACTGCAAAGGAAACAAAAGACAACTTACTCCAATCCACATTAGGATGTGACTAACTTGTAATGGAGTTAGGTGCTGACTTCTGACACCAGGAATTACAGTAGCTGGAAATAGGAGGCCAGTAAGTGGAAAGTAGACAGGAAGATGTATGTTCCAGTCAGGAGCAGTACCTGAGGTGGGCAGGGAGTGTGGCAGAAGCTTGAAGTGCAAACGTAGCCTGGGGAGAAACCTGGAAACAGCTCAGCAAGGAGGGAAACTCAGAAAAAGGAAAGAGAGCTCTGGACCTGAAAGTACCTGGAGGGGAATTTATGAAGCACAGGATCCACGGGCCTTGTGCAAAGGGACAGCGACACACAGTCCTTCGCGCTTCCTCCTCGCTGTCCTGCCAGCCCTCCATTGGAGAGGCCGTGCAGAGTTGTCCCGCACACATTTTCTGCCTGAGAAAGTATTATTTTTTAGACTTCAAACATTTCCTTGTGGATTATTTTAAAGTCTTCTATAAGACTGTACTTGACTATCAGGTTTTGATTCCAGTGATCTGCCAACTCTGCCACTTTGGGAGAGGGTGTAACGGGGATCAAACTCGGGTCCTTGCGCTTGCGAGGCAGGTGGCAGAACTGCTGAGCTAAATCTCTGGCCCATTAAAAGGAAGTTTTTAATAGCTTGAAAACAAAAGTAGTATTTCTGCCAGTGGCTGGAATTAGGGTTCAAAGGGCCTGGAGGAAAACAGATCCTTGGGATTTACTCCTGGCTGGGTTTCTGGAATGTTATCCTGGGCACAGTGGCCTGGACGACAGTAGTGTCCCAGGTCACGGATCTTGGGCCCTGCTTCTTGTTCTTCTGATGCATGGGAAAAAAGCGGTGGTTGGATTTGTTATGAGGTCCCTGACAAGGGCCTTGGTCTTGTCTGGAAGAGGTTTCCTGATGAAATACTGGGTTCTGCTATGATATATTTCCACACCCTGGAAGTTTGTGCCATTTCTTCCTATTTCCTGTATTAGAAATACATTCATTTCCCCTACTTTCCACTGTTCCCCTCGTGTAGTCTTCTCTGTCATAAGTTCTAGGTAATGTTCCTTGTAATTTCCAGCTCTGAGCTCCCAACCCAGATTCCCATTCTCGTTGCTCATATGTGGGTCATAATATGTGGGACTCAGCTCAGCAACTCTTCTAGGCTGGCATTGAGCTGACCTCAGGATGTATTATGAGTCACCTTTTGGTGGCTGACTGAATGAGGAGAGCTTATAAAGGCCACTGCTCAGTGCTCATGATGTATTTTATTTATCTTTTTATTTCCTTATTTTGCAGTACTGAGAATTGAACCTAGGGCCTTCACTCTGAGCTACATCTCTTTTTCTTTTTTCTTTTCTTTTCTTTTTGGTATCGGAGATAGAACTTTTTTCTTTATTTTTTAAATTTTGAGATGGTCTCACTAAGTTGCTAGTTTGTCCAGGTAGGGCTCAAACTTGATCCTCCCACCTCATCCTCCCAGAGTGCTGGGATTACAGGCTGCACCACCACACCCAGCTCATGATGCATCTTAGAGTGATTGCTTTGGGGGCTGGGGATGTTGCTCAATCATAGAGTGTTTGCCTAGAATGTGTAAGGGCCTGCATTCAACCTCCAGTGCTTTAAAAAAAATGCAGATTCTACAGTGATTACCTTGCATAATGAGCAGTATGTTAATTTATTAATTTTCCTTGCCTTGTTATTAACAGGCTTCCTTCCCCACTCATAAATTAAATATGAAGGAGGAGGTATAGCAGTAACACCAGTTTCTTCATGAGATTTACCGAAATTGCTTTCATCCTTTATAGATGCACCTCGTATTTGCCATTATCTGCTCCAGGTCCTCCTGTGGAAATCCCTGGCAAAGCTGTGGCAGCAGCACATTGATTGGCACATGTGGGTTGTTCATAAAGGGACATGGTCTCTGGGCTATTGCACATCAGTTACTGCAGCAGGGAACCCAGGAGCCTCCACCAGGCTCAGCCCTGGCCTCAACCCCAGGCAGTGAAAGAGACCAGCCACGTCCTGTGTGTGAGAAACGGACCCTGAGCCTCTCACAGGAGGGAGGAAATCATTGCTTCCTCATGTGCAACCTGGCTTAGGAGCTTTGTTCTATCTGAGAAACTAACTCTGGGAATTTGTACAGAGCTGTTTGTTGTGAAAGCACTTTTGATCCCAGAGTGTCCAAAAGCCCTTGGAAAAAATTTTGCTGTGCCAGGGAGGCAGTAGAGCCTGCAGGAGCACCCCAGAGAAGTCGGGACTCCTGGGTTTGGTGCCTGGTTTTCAAATAACAGTCTGCTCTATCAAGCCTCTTAGGTGCTCCATGTTGCTTTTATGAAATTGAACCAACTCTAAACAATTCTACCAGGAAAATAATGCTATCCAAATAAAGTAATGCTGGTCATGTGGTTTGAGCCCAAAGATTCAGGGATAACCAGAATTTTTATTTCCATCTGCCTCACTTTCTCATCTCCTCTTCTGGTCTTTGCATTTATCAAAGAAATTCAGGAGTGAAATGAGGAATGTATTGAAAAAGGCAACAAAGGTTAGAAGTGGAGCTGAGATGATGCCCTCAGCCATGGGCATTTCATTCTTGTTTGCCTAAAATTGTTCTGAGCGTCTGCGGTAGCAGAATCCTCTGCATGGACTGGCAGTGTCCATCCACTCTGACCTCTGATGCTCATGGAGTGTGAGCAGCCACTGGGCTGTGTACTGTGCCTGTATTCTCACTCCCACCAGTCACGGTGAATGTTTTCCAAGAGTTGCGTGTTTCCCAAACCTGTTTCTGCCAGTTATTGCATAAATTGATGCTACAGGACCATAACAGGAGAGTTGAGTCTATCAAAACTGCATTGAGGGGCGGGGGATTTAGCTCAGTGGTTTCACTGCCTACTGCACAAGCGCAAGGACCGAGTTCGATCCCCGGTACCAAAAAAAAAAAAGTTGCATTGAAAGCTTTAAAAGATTTGAAAAGCAAAAAACTAAGAAAACTTGAGCTAGGTATAGGACTTCAAGGCTAGGGATTAGAAAGCTCGAGGATTTTTCTTTCTGATTGCCTTATTAAAATCTTGCACCATTTTAAAGGAGCTGATGCTGAGTATAATACACCGTGGGAATGGGTCTGAAGAGTGGAGTTGAAAAGCGGAAGTGTGTCAGGGAAAGTCTGGGTTCTAGTACTTTGAATGGCAGGCACTGAGGCTCACTGGCACCTCTCTGTAATTTTCTGTAACAAGGATTATGGTTGCAAGGGTTTTGCATGTAGTGAGTATCTGAAGAAGGTGTGGAAGGCCTTCCCTGGAAGTTTTTCAAAGTAGATAAACATCTGTTTGCTTGGATGACTTTGTATGTTGATGTTGGGGCAAGAATGGCTGAGATCAACCTGTTCGTGAGTTGAGGGACAACCGAGTGTGGGGGGCAGGTGGACCTT